AAAGCAGTGCATGCAGATGAAATATTATCTTGGCCAACAAACAGAATAAAAGAAAGTGATCTGGACTACTGAAAGATTGGTAGCAATTTTAAGCACTTGAAAGACAAATGACATTGCAGAAAAGACTGGGTTAACAAGGGAGCACTTGAGGGAAGTCTAATCTCTGTTGGCATGCTGGCTGGGAAGGTCAGCCCGGTGCACGCGTTCTCAGCTGGAGTCAGGCTCCTTCTGCCCGGCCAATTGTCCTATGCACTTGAGGTACCAACCAAAGGGAAGGTGCCTTCACTCTGTCAGCACCTTATATTCTCCCAGTTTAAAGCCAGCTTCCTTTTCCCTGTCAATTCATGCAGTGTTTCCACACAGTAAATGCTAAAGGAGAGAGGTAATGTGTGAGAGCCTTTTTTTCCTTTCTGAACAGCAAAAGGCTCTTTAGGAAGCAGTGTAAAGTTATTTTTAACACTGTATTCTCAAGTGAGAAGAATGATATTTCAAAATACATTTTCAATCCATATTTTTCTCAAAGAAACTGACTTTGTTTTCAAAACACACTATGCTTTGAAATTTAAAGCAAATCTCTTGAAAACTGACGAACATGATACTTTACACAGTTTGTTACTTCAGTTTTTGTTTGACCACAAGTACAGAGGAAATGTTATATTTCCTTTTCAAAAGTGGAGATCTAGCACTAAATTCTAAATCCAGAACCTGGATTCACCTTCATCCTCTATCAGGACAAGATTCAGATTACTAACTGAAACTACATGACAATCAGTTAATTTAAGGTCTATAAAGTTTGTAGCTATGTAAAGAATTACTTTCTAAGAAAAGATAGACATTTTAGAAAATACCTAACTCCTAAGTCTTGTCAAGAGATCTGGAAGGTGTGAGAGACTTTAAAAATCTCACTTCTTTGTAAGAAGATATGCTGCTGTTTGATCTATTTGAAAAATCATGGTCATTCCCAAAATACCTCTCAAGAAGACACAGACAAGACCTGAATTTGCACGGTGAGATAAAAATGACTAAAAGGATGCAAATTTACCTTAAAGGATTGGTTTTAATGATTTTGGGTATTCCTGACACAGAAATGACTACATTTCTTATTTCAGAAGTATTGTTAATTTCTGGGACTGTACTTCCTTACCTTCAAAATAGTAAATAATCTTTTCATTCAGGTTCATTACATTTCTCTTTCTTTTAATTTTTTATGTTTAGTAGTCTTAAATACTTTCAGAATCTTTTTTTTACTGTGCTCCACAGGAATAGTTATCATCAAATAAAATAGTACAGCAATCAATGAAGTGGAAGGACAAAATTTACTAGAAGACTGATAGGTTCGAAACCTTATAATATGCACTGATTTCTTCTTCATAGGTTCTACTGTAATAATATCAACATTGTCAAAGTTTTGAAAAATATTTTTTCTTAATAATTTATATGAAAAAAAATTAATCATATTTCACCAAGTGTTAGAACACATATTTAAAATGTACTTAAATTTAAACTTTTTAAGTAAACTATAATGTAAAAGGCAACCTGCTGCAACATTTATATTTGTATTCATGCGTGTCTTTGTCAATCTATGATGTCAACATTTTGCAAACATTCTGCTTATCATTGACAGGTTTTGATCACAAACACAGTATATGAATTCTTAGATAGCCCTGGCAGTTATAATAAATTTACTTTTTTGTATTGTCCAGGCCCAAAACAAAGAACCTAAAAATCTCTAAGTGCTGTCTTCTATATTGTCATCAAATGAGATTGAAAAGAAAATCTGTTTTCATTACTTGTCATACTAAATATTCTTCAACAGGAGTTTCCAGATTTTACATAATTTTTAATGACTAATTATTTAGGTAAAGTAGGACAAGCCTATGGTTAAACAATAGAGTTAGGATTTCTTTAATGGCTGACTTTGTCATAAACTTTAACTCTGAGCAAGCCCTTCTCCACTTCAGTTTTCCACATCACAGCAAATGGTAACAATATTTCACTAACTCATGGTTTTGGTTTGAGAATTAATGAGGGTCCCATGTGCAAAAGACCTGTAGATTCTGGCTTCTTCTTTCCACTGTGAACTGATAGGAAAGTGACCTGTTCTTAATTTGAAACAGAGACTCAGGGCTGCCCTTCATCAGCACATGGAATTCTCATTTATGTCAACAGGAGTTGCATTGAATACACTGAATACATTACTTAGCCTAAAAGTAAATGAAGAAAAAGGAATGGAAATAAACTCTTGGATTCTCCTTGCCTGCTTCTAAAAAGTCTAACAGCTCATGGCAGCAGACACATAATAATAAATAAAAATATTTTTGATGGGAGGCAAGAAATGCTGCCTGGGATTATAAATGAGAACGGAGAAATTGTAGCAGGTCCATCTGTAGAGTACATTGAGCTCTACTGCAAGAGCACCATCATAAAATAAATGATGGTACATGCAAAATTCAGTCACCATAATATATCGTGCTCTAGACATTTGTCTCAAAATAAAACAAACCTTTAATGGCCTCAGCATTTCAGCTTTTCACACCATCTCCAGTGAATGCCAAGAAAACAGTTACCTTTTTCTCCTGAGTGTTAAACCAAGATAAAAAGTTCAGTAATTTAGAAAAAAACCCCAAGTTTTAAAAGCTCAAACTTCATCCCAGGTAGTACTACACACTGGTTTTGGTCAGATATATCTATGGTAGAAGAACATAATCAACTGAAGGAGATTGTTTTTTTCTGGAAAGAGATTAAATGTGAGTATACAATTTTAATCTCTTGCTTTGATCTGAGGTAAAAACTGTCAGAGCAGAAAAAGACATTTTTCGGTTTTTGGGGGAAAAAAAAGCCAGAAAGGAGAATAATCAAGAAGCAGCTGGTTGGCCATTACCGAGCTCAGGGAGGCAAACATGCCTATAACAAGCAGGCAAGTTTTAAAATTTGCCATTGCTTAGCCATCTACAGACAATAAGACTTGACAGTTCTTTACAGAAGGCAGGCAGGAGCTACAATTCTGCATAATTAGGCAATAATTAATCAATCCAAGAATAGCAGCCTTGTAAATTTGGAAAATGGTAAGTGTAGTCATCTATGTGTATGAGCTAGTCTTTTAAACTTTATACTGCCTGCATGCAGTCCTAGTCATTTAAAAGTCTGCCTTTCCAAATAACATTTTTTCACTTCAGTATGTTACTGAACAGAGGATTTTTGACTGGAGAAAGACATTCCTTCTGAAGGACGGAAGGATTTAAAAACAAAAGGGCAGACAGACTAGACCACAATCCTCCCAAGAAGCAGGTTACCAGAGGTAGAAGAACTCCAGCAATAGTATTTTGACATCACCACATATATGCTCTTTTTTTCTTCATAAAATAGTAGATTCTCTCATTCTCTCAGTTTTTCTGGTTTTAGCATTCCTCCAAGCAGTGAGGAATTTAGGGACTCTACTTCTTAACACCATATATGTACAGTTTAAGTATGCCTTCATACCATCACCATCTACCTTTCTGTTTATGGCTTTCCAAAGCACCAGAAAACATTGTATCTCATGTTTACCCAAAATACTGACCTGCTACTTTTGGAACTAGTGGCAGACCTTCTATGTGTCTTAAGGACTGTATCTTTATTACACATAGCCAAAGTTTTGCTATACTTCAAGCGGTCGTTCAGTAATGCTGGCTGCTGACTCCTGCCTTCTAACATTATCAATAGCTTTGACTTTGAAATGTTTCTGATGAAATAAGCTAAAACTGATCTTAAGAAAAAGTTCAGAATAGTATTTACATGCATATTATATAAAAAGTCTTTCAGCTGCTCACCCTCTTTAAAAATGTATGCTATTTTCTTTAAATTAGGCTTTCCCCTAATACATACTTAGATTTGGTTGGCTGCACTTAATTTCCACCTTGTCTACGTTGTCATGTTCATACTTTTCACAGAAATCCATTTCTAGTTTACTTTGTTCTATTTTTCCAGATGTAAGATATATTTTATGTCCTTTGAAGTATGGTATTAACGGAGAAGTGCACTCAGAATGATTAGTACCCCAGACACATAACACTGTGAAAGCATCTTCACAGTAACTATAGTAGCAAGCGTGTTAACAGCATGTCAGGATACAGAGACTGGACTAACAACGTTCAAAACCAGACACACTTTATGCTGGGTACGAAGAGTAAGCAGTAAATTAACAACCTACTGGTCATGCAACCACGAAAAACTATGGAATCAGTAAGGACAACACTCAAGCAACACTTGGAGCACCAGCACTTTCAACGAAAGACGAAACCACGAGAGGCTAAACGACGAATATTGGGCCATAAATAAGGAAACAAAGAAAGTTTCACCACAGTTTTGGGTGGGTTTTTTGCTAATACGAAGTTTCTCCGTTCTCGCCGGCTCCGTCCCTACACGCTGTAACTCATCGCGCCCGAGAAGCAGCGCAGTTCGCAGGCACCGCAGCCCGTGCCGGCGGGGATGCCCGCTCAGGCGGCCACTGCGAGGCCCGGGGCAGCCTCCCGAGGGGCGGGGTGCGCCGGCCCCAGGCCGGATCTGGACACAGGCACCTGTGTCTGGACACGGGCACTCCGGTCCCCGAGCGCTGCCCGACCCCCGGGAGCGCGCTTTTTTCACTGCCTTTGCTCCACTCAACACAGGGGAGATCTGTTAACGATTAAATCAGCGGCGGCCGCAGTTCAAAGCCCTGTCCCGGGAAGCAAAGGTGAAGATAACGTCCCGGCGGATCGCGTCGAGTTTCTGCTGTTGCAATCACTTTTAATTACCCTCCAAACGGCACATCACACAGCGATCCTCCGGGCGCCGGACCGGGCACCGCGATAGCCAGATACCTATAAACGCTTTACAACGCACCCGCTGATTAAAAAGCGATTAGAAACTTATTTGAAGTCCGGCCTTCTCTCCGGGCACGGAGCGCCTCCTGTCAGCGCGGGGGGCCGGCCCGAGCCCTCCCGCCGCCGCCGGTGCGCCCTTCCCGGCCCGCCCGCACTTACAGGTAGGAGGTGAAGACGCTGAGGTTGGCGGGCACGGCGGTGAGGCCGCGGTCGGAGCAGTCGGCGCGGAGCAGCACTCCGTCCAGCTCGCAGCGGCACGGCGCCGGACAGCCCCGCGGGCGCTGCCCGCCGCCCCGCGCCCCCCGCCGCAGCCCCGGCGGGCACAGCAGCAGCAGCAGCAGGAGAAGGGCGCGGGCAGCGCGGGTCGTCGCCATGGGGCCCGGGGGGTACCTAGAGCCGCGGGGCGGCCGCTCTCATGCCCCGGGGCGCGGCGGGGGCGAAAGGCGGGCGCCCGTCTGGGCTCGAGGAGCTCCTGCGGCCGCCGCCGCCGCGCCGCTGTCTGTGGTAGCATCTCAGCTTACACGCTGCTTTAAAGCCCTGGAGCCGGCACCGCGCGCCCGCTGACGCCGCCCCAGCCTTGCCCGCCGTGGCGCAGCGGGCCCTGCCCGCGCCGCCGTGCGAGCGGGCGGGTGGGCGGGGGCGGCCGCGGCCCGGCGGGCAGGCGGGAGGAGGGAGCGGGGGAACGCCGCCCTCCGCCTGCCCTCCGTGCGGGCCGCGCCTCGGCGCCCGCCTCGGGCCCTCGTCCCGCCTTCACAGAGTGGGTCAGGCAGCAGGAGGCCGTAGCCAAGCATCTGCGCCAAGCACCCTGCCCAAGCACTCATCGCAGAGCACATGGCATTCAGGATTGCGTCCAGGCAGCTCCCGAATAACTCCATGAGGGAGCCTGCGCAACCTGTCCCAATGAGCGATCACCCGCTCAGAAAAGAAGTTCGTCCTCGTAATCAGGTGGAACTTACTGTGCATCATACAATCATACAGCCGTAGAATAAGCCGAGTTGGAAGGCAGCCGTCAGGATCATCGAGGCCAAATTCTGGCCTTGCACAAGACACCCCAAGAATCACACAGTGCACGAGAACGTTGTCCAACTTCTGTCCGGTGCCTTGTGTCCTAGTGGTTGGCGCCACTGAGAAAAGCCTGCGTTCACTTTCTTGGTGCTCCCTCCTGCCCATTGGGTATTCATATATATTTATGAAGTGCCTTCTCTGGCCTTTCTTTTTAAGGGGGAATTCTGCCTCACAATAGGGATGCATGTGTGGACATTTCTAGAAGGTGGGAGAACAGGCAGTTGTGGAAGTGGGGGTAAGGTCCTGAGGTCATGGGGTGAGGAGTGGGTCTCTGGGGTGATGAGCTGAAGGCTTGGGTGCTCTAGTGGGCTAGTAGGGAGTTCTAACCTCTAAGATCTTGTTTAGTTGGTCGGTGGTCCCAGCTGCAGACCATGGTCCTGGTCAGTGATGGCAATCCACTCTCTTCCCTCCCCACATGGTTAAATCACAGGCTTGCCAGCAGGCAGCCATTTTCTAAACGGGCCTGGCTGCTGAGGGAAACAGTTCACAGTGAGGCTGCCACTGAGATGTCCCTCACCCAGCTTCTTGCCAGAGGTTCTCCTCAGATAGTGCACAAAATACTTGCCTTTGTGCTACGTGTCTGTGACTGAATGAGGCAAAGGTGAGGATGGCAAGGTTTTTTAAACCTTTTTCCTCCAAATCAGTTTTCAGTGTGAACAAAGTTGGCCACAAACTCCAGATTTGAGACTAGCTGCAAGTTTAAGAACCCAGTCCCAGCCCAATTCCTGTTTAGACTGGTAACTAAATTGTTGGTCAGGCTACTCAATACACAATGGAGAACATTAGTTAAAGGTTTTCTGCTACACTCTCTTTGAATCTACAATTAAGTCTGAAATGAGAGCCTAATGAAAAGGCCAGCAAAATACATGGTTTTATATTCCACCCAGTTTATAACACCTGTTTTCACCTCTGGACCATAATCTGGTATAATCTGAGTTGCAGAATGATCTTGTACTGGTACTCAAGTGTTTTGTTTGAAATAATAAAAAAGGAATCTGCTGTCTGGCTAGTTAGACCAAAATGTTTTGGACTGTGGGGCTGCTGTGAAACTTTTCCCCAAGCATCACCTTGTCCTAAGATAATAACAACCGTGGTTGAAAGCATAAAGTGCCTGTGAGAAATTCCCAAAGAGAAAAACTCTCCAGGAAGAGAATTTTTTTCATTCTGTGTCATGATATGTGTCCAGGAGACCTCTTCCCCCAAAAGTTCTGGCTGTCTTTTGCCCATGTCTATAAGTTTTTATTTTTCATGAATAAAACAAACAGTATTTATTTATCTTGAGGCTTTTATACACTTTTGTTTTGTCTTGCTTTGTTTTTTTTTGTTCTAGAAAGCCAAGAGTATATTCTTTATTCATTTTCTGTCAAGGATTTATCAGCTTCCACAAGATACCTGAAGTTAGACAGACATAGTTTAATTAGTAGCGAGAATTCAACTGTAAAAGTCATCCTCTGTATGTTACTTTGCGTAAGTATATTTGTTGAGCTAGTGGCTTTCTTTAAAATACTAAATGTACTTCTATACAATTTTACTTAAATATTTTTTGGAAGTAAAGTAGCTTGAAGATTAAAAGAAGGATTTTGTAGGAACTGATATGGATAATTCCTACCTTTATACATTTAAACTAGGCTGTACAATTTTTTCCTTTTCATGTTTCTCGCAGGTCTCTAGTTCGCCATGAAGGGAAAAATTAAAAACAAGAGTCTGCTTGCTGAGGTCTCTGGGAGGTGCTGTTACTGTTCCAAAAGGCTATTTGGACTGTAAGATTTCCTGCAGGTTCTAACATCTCACCATAATGTCTCGGTCACTTGAAGTGACATCCATGTAAAACCATCAGTGGTCTTTGGGTTTCATCAAGGCAATAAACCAAATCCCTCAGGGATGTCAGCAGAATGTTCTCTTGAATCTATGTTCCTGATACTCAGGCAAAACCCCCGATCTTTTGTATGTAAGACATGATGATGCTCTAGCCTGAGGTTTATCAGTATAAAAGGTATCTTTATGAAATACTACCTACAAGTAAACAAAATTATATGTTGTGTTATATATTCTTAGCAGACAAAAAGTGTAACAATTCATATGTTAAGAATGCACAGCAGATATATATATATATATTTATATTTATATATATAATAGATATATAAATATTTAACATCATTACTTACAGCATGGCAGATTTTAGACTTTATGTGAAATTTGGGTTTAAAATATAGGACTGTAAAAAGAAAACTGTCTATCTAAACTATTCACTGCTATTTCTGTTTTGTAAACTTAAACTCAATAAAATTATTTTTAAAAAGTGTGGCTAGAGCATTTGACAATGGAAAATTGTGCTTAATCCTGAAATGATCAGTCATCCCAGCCAAAATGGAGTTTAAAGCAGAAGTGTTAACAGACCTTGTACTAGCAAAGGTAGCAGCTAGTTTAAATATTAAGACAAGTCCAATACAGGGCCAAAGGAAAAAGAACAGCAGCAGAGAACACAGTAGCTGACTGTAGTATGTCTTTTCCTTTCCTTTCCTGCTTATGGATGAAGGCTAGATTCCTAGAAGGCAGTAAGTACAACTGTGTGTTTAGACTATGGAGAAAACAAAGATCCTGTGCAGGGTGGAATTCTTTTCCTGGCTATTGGGTTAAGAAATTCTTCATTGAATGTGTTGAAATCCTTACATGGAAAGGGTTCAGTGGGCAGGTGTACGGCTCTGCAGCCCTGAGGCTGTTCTGCTGGAGAACAGTACAGCAACTTCCCAGTGATCTGAGCCGAAGGATCCTTTCCTCCTTTCAGGACACCTCATTTGTCCTTTTATCCCAGCTAGCCTTGGAGAATGGTGCATGCCTTAATCTATCACTATAGAGGCTTTTTATACATACAGCAGAAGGCTATTTATGTGCTGTGTTCTCTTGGTTCCATATTTACCTATTGGTGTATGTTCCCGTTCATTTGCATCACATTATCTGTCCTGTTTTGTGGAGGACCTTGAACTAACACGAGTATTTACATCTCTTTATTAAGCTGTACAGTGTTCAAACCAAGGCAAATGGCACTGTTTCTGTTTTAGATAGTGATAAGAGCTGGTACCTGAAATGTAGGGTGGGTAGGGTATGAATAAATTAATGAAATACAGGATTTTTAATTGCACTGGCTCAATTTACCACCTGACTACAGCTTTTCAGTCACAATAATATTACGGACAGTTTTATTTTATCATTATGGATTTGGTTTTTTGGGTTTTCATGCTATTTAAGGCATGCTATGTCATACCTTATTAGAAATAGTCAATATCATATTAATTCTTTAGTTTGGCACACTGCCATCTAGCTGTATGGTTCCCTCAGCAGTTCTGTAGTCAGTGTGGTGGCAGGACTGAGGCAAAACATCTGACAGCTAAGATTCATCTGAAATCTTCTTCAATATTCAAGTTTCTAATGGGATGAAGGGACAAAGCTAGAAAGCAGGTTTTATTACTGTTACAATTCATACAATGACACTTGGCTTATACATATAATTTTGAAACAAATATTGATTGGTATGAGCATTATTTTTAGTCTGAAAACATCTGATGGTAAAGTTCACAACGTTAGTGCAAAAATCAGGATTATCCAGGCACGTTTTGATAGTTAGAAATTAGGGAAAGAAGCAAGGGAAATATGTAAATATGTAGGCTGCAGATATAGTGAATATTTTTTTTTGAGGAAATGAAAGCTGATTGCTATAGTAATTCTCTGTTTAGCAAATAAAATCCATGTGTTAAGGTGAAAATGTGAAAATAAGATACACGAAGAGAACCTCTTATTATTTTGAGTTGGGGTGGATGTGACATCATTTGGAAAATCAAAGCCAGGATGCAAAAGCATTAAGTATTTCACTTACACAGAAACTATGTGCTTAAACTTTACTCTAAATAAAGCTTTTAAACTCTAGCACTTACTGGTCTGTTGCCTTATCCTTGTATGCCTCAGGTAAATCCAGAAGAAGAAAGAGGAGAACTATGTAAGCTATGTCTAAAGATACATGAAGAATGGTAGGCATTAAATGAGGAACAAGATTTTTACCAGAACAACTAATCTTTGAAAACAAACCAGAGCTCCCATTTTGGCTCACTAAATCTTATTTTCTCAAGATATATCTAACTGCCCGTTCGAAGTTTGTCTCATTTGTAGACCCAGACAATCACTGTTTTCTGAATTGCATAGTCTTGTGTCTCTACTTTCTCACACCACAAAAGCAATAATCAATAGCTATCTGTTCCTTATAATAGCAGGTGTGAGAACCAAACATTTAGAAATGCACTACTGTGCATTTTAGCAC